CACCCACACCCACACGCACACCCACACCCACACGCACACCCACACCCCACACACCCACACCCACTCACGCACCCACACCCACACCCTGCTTTCTTTGTCGTTTGAATAAACGGAAGATTTTATAAAAAAAACGACAAGACGACTTTTTAAACATTTATGGGGTCTTTGCCAAGGGTGCAGTCAACTTGTTTTATTCGATTCCGAAGAAGTTGAAAAATTTCAAGTGACTTCTTTTTTTTGTTTTTCGCTTCTACATGCTCACGAAAATCTCATGATAATTGTTAGAATGACAAGAAGTTAACATTTTTTTGTAGCATTAACTCAATATTTAGTATGTACCTGTGACAAGAAAATATTTCTACTAAATATGAATTAAGAAAGAATATTCTTTCAGAAGTTACATTGAAGAAGTTGAGTCTTTTTGTCTATAATGATAAGTATCATAAAATCTTTGTGTTAAATATTCTCCAACAATAACAGGTTCATATTTGGCTATTTGATCAGTCATTAAACATTTAACTTCAGCAAAATAATCAGGTCCAAAAAAAACAGGAATTGAATAACGGCTTGTTCCACTCGTATTAATAACACGATGAATTGTTGATTTAAATTGATCATTTGTCCATCGTTGCATAAGATCACCAATATTAACAACAAATGTGTTTGGAATGGGTTTAGCATTAATCCATTCTCCTTTATTATTACGTACTTGAAGACCTGATTGATTTGATTGAGAAAGAAGTGTAAAACATTCATAATCAGTATGTGCACCACAACCAAGTTGATCCTCATCAATAATAATTGGTTGCGGAGGATAGTAAAGAAGACGCATTGTTACCATTGGTTTTTGGCACATACTTTTAAAATAATTTGGAGGTAAATTAAGAGATAAAGCAAATGCTTCTAATACTCGATGACCAAGAGAAACCATGCTTAAATAACATTCATCATAAATACATTCACGAAATCCTAAATAAATATATTTAATGCGATATAGATTATTTTCTTGATAAAAAGAGTTATTACCTTCAAGATTATCAGGCCAAAGATTGGGTCCATATAGAGAAGCTCCTCGTTCAATTCGATCTTTATCATCAGCTGGTAATTCCATTGCGAAATCAAAACCTTCTTTAAGATCACCTTTAAGACTTAATTTTTGTTCAAGCATCGGTGTATAACCTCGATTATTTCCATATGGACATGAGCCAATATATAATTTCATTTTTTCTTCAATTGATTGAGAAAAAAAACGTTCGGCTTGTTCGTAAACACGTTCGATAAGTGATGATGATACACCATGATTTAATAAATAAAAAAAACCAACATTACGACAAGCATCACCGATCTCTGATGATACCTTTTGACGATCTTCATCTGTTCCATTAAGAAAAGGACCAAAGTCAATTAAAGGAATGTGTGTAAACATTTTTCTTTTAAATTATTTTAATAGGTGCAAATCTAAAGACGATCGATACTATTATATATATTTCATTTTTCTATGTGAAAATAATAACAATAGGCCACTATGAAAATAGCGTGACATCCAATACTTTTATCTTTTACACGTGTCATTTATTTCCAGTGTTGCCACCTTTTGAAGTCCGAAAAGCAGAAAGTATGTTTATGATATGAAACTAACGGGTAGCTCGTAATAAAAGAGGATCTCAGTATTTTGTTAACATCTTAAGCGTTATCTTATCGCTCACGCTTTATTTTTTTATCAAAAGATTCACTGTCTGCTTTTGCACAAATTGCATATTTCGTGGTAAAAATACTTATTTCTTTCTCTTTCAACATCACCACGATTTAAAAACAGCACTACACACAACTTTCAAAATCTTTATTTTTTTCAATTTTTTTTGAAAACATCTAGTCCTTAGATTAGTCTTATTATCATTGGTCATGTCATATTCTTTATCCAGAAATAAAATAAAATGCCTTTAATACGTGGATTGAAATGAACCAATTTATCTCTTGAGTGACGAACAAATTATACCCAAAGCAACAGGATTAATTGAGAAACTGGAGGTTTTGAAAAAAAAACTGAAAAAAATGAAGACGTTAAAGTTGTGTGCAATGCTTGTTTTAAATCATGATGATGTTGAAAGAGAGATAAGTGTTTTTTACAGCGAAATATACCAATTTCTACAGAATCAGACGGTGAATCTTTCGATAAAAAAAAATAAAGAGTGAGCGATAAGATAACGCTTAAGGTGTTAACAAGATACTGAGACCTTCTTTTATTACGAGCTACCCGTTAGTTTTAAATTTTAGTTTCAGCATTCTAATCACTTGGATTGTATGGCATCACAAAACACAACTAATTAACAAATAGACAGAATCATTGAACACGTTTTCTTTTTAAAGAGTATTCTTCATCTGAGTTAAGAGCTTTTGATAAATCTTTTTTTGCCTAATAAATACTTATCCATTATAGTATGTGATAAGGAGAAATTCAAAATAATTGTTGATTAAATCATAGCATTTAAAAGTTTTTTGTTTCTTATTGTTCATAAGATTATCAATATTAGCTTTTTATTAGCAAGGTTCGGGAAACTGTTGATGACGAACGATAAATGTTAATTGAACGGATCAAATTTATATTCTTTTAAAGATCATTAATATTCGACGACTTTGAACCTTTCTCTGTCGAAAATAACTCTATTTAATTTCTATTGTCTGGTTTAACTCCTGATGACATAATTATTACTTCAGCAACTATCACTGCTTTGTGAATACCTTCTTCGCTAGTCGAGCTGTCATTATCATCTAGAGCTGTTTTTTCTGTTCCTTTCCTCTCACTAATCATATCAATTATTCATGTTCATTGAGTAAACAAACAAAAGAATGTATATGTTGATGTATATGAATTACATGAGTAATTAAAATACGATAGAAAACCATAGGTAAAGAATTGATTTAAAGCCAAATATATGGGTTGGTAGTTGTTTTTAGTCAGTAGAAAATAGAAAATCATCTGTATCAAATAGAAAGAATTAGAATGACACAAAAACATCAGTAGTTTTTGATACGGGTTTTTTAATAACGATGGAAACGAAGGTATTTCACGTGAAAAATGTTGATTGAAATAATAAATAACACCGTATCAAAAAAAGCAGAAACGACAGAAAAAACTTCAAAAAGCACAATTTTTCTGCTAAAAGCAGAAGAGATGGCAACTCTGTTTATTTCGTTCTCTTTGTTAATCATATTACCTTCTCGTTGCTTTTGTATATAACAAAAGCTTTTTTGTTATTATTTGATACATATGTTCGTTTTCAATGATCATGAAAATTACGTCTTTTTTAAATTGATATTATTGATTTGTTGTAATCTATAGATCCTTTTTGTCAGTAGATAAAACTAAACTAAGGTATGAACAACAAGTAAATCAATTTTTATATCAATATTATTCTACAGCATAGTGATCAATATATGTTCTATAATAGTATTTCTTTCAAAATGACAATATCTATATCGAAAGTCATAAAAAAGAAAATAATGGATTTTTGTTGTGTTTTATTCATTAATTATTGGTTTTTTTTGTAGCCACTGACTATTTTATTTTCGCGTAATACTATACTCGACAGATCTTTCAAATTGACGAGAAACATTCAGAATTTTGCTTTTATTGCAATTTTTTCTGAATGATAATATTTTTTTATTATTCCAGTTTTATTATAATTTTGAGTATATGTCTTCCTATTGATTATGATGTAATTTTTGTTCTCTAATAATCATCATATAATTTCACTATTTTGACACTAATACAGTAATGCAATACCAAAAATGAAAAGGATGATTTTTTTTTATGTCACATTAATCATCTATGGTTGCATTGTCGAAGTTGAGTAGATGTTGAACTTGTTAATGCCGAATTGCAATTAAGAAAGAATGAAAATTTTCTTTGTGCACACTTTTATAAATTTAATGTATTCCGACAAGATCTATTAAATAAAATACCAAAAAAATCAAAAATTTCGTGAAAACAAAATGTATTCTTGATTAATGAAATTTATTTTTTTTATGTGAGTGCTTTGAACTATATGCGTCTATCGTATCGAAGTTGTCTTGATTAAGATAAACCAGTAAGATTTATATATACCCCTGGAAAGCAAAAGCTGGACATCGTATTTCGACTCTTTTGACATTCGAAAAGGACATTTTGAGAATTGTGTTGTCTCACATTTATTCGCTGAACAATAATTCGAGTATTACATAGATCTCCTCCGTGACACTTGAAAAACACTGGATGTCTTACTATCACTTCTTTTTATTTCAAGCTTATCGTCAGTATAGAAATGACTTTTGAAATAGATAATTATATATTCTGATAAAGCTTGAAATTATGTGTCATCCTGGCTTCCTGAAGTAAAAAACACAAGAGATAGTTAAAAAATCCAAGTTTTTTTAGGGTGTCAAGGAAAGTCTCCATTTAGTACTGGAATTATTCTTGAGCAAATCAATACCAGATAACGCAAATTTATATGGAATGATAGAAAATTTCAAGCTCTATCAGAATGTATACTTATCTTGATAGTAACTTATTCACATAGTAGGTATAATTTGAAAAAAAATAGGAAAAATAGCGAAACAAATTACAGCTCTTTTTGTATTTGCCAATTAGAGCTTTCTTCGCTATACGCAAATTATTTTTCAGAAAATAAATACAAGAGTATAAATACATATATAGGGTGATAGAAAATTTCAAGCGCTATCAGAATATATAATTGCATTTTCAAAAAAAGTAATTCTATAGTGATAAAATATTTAAAAAACTAATTTTGATGACAGTGACAAAATCAAGTCTATGGGAATCTGAACATGAGGGTGCCTTCATTCTACTCGATTAATTTTTGAGGAGATAAAAGCTAGGCACAATCAAAATACATAATTTGATACAGAGGTACCCAGGCGAGCAAAAAATAAGAGGTGACGCCCGACATGACTAATCTAAATTGTCCGTAGTACCCGTCTGGACTAGTCTAAAATGTCTGCACTGACGTTTCGACTAGTCTGAAATGATTTGCAGCTAGTCAGGACTAGTCGTCTTCACGAGCAACGTCTTGTGGGTGTGGGTGTGGGTGTGGGTAGGGTGTGGGTGTGGGTGTGGGTGTGGGTAGGGTGTGGGTGTGGGTAGGGTGTGGGTGTGGGTAGGGTGTGG